TTAAATTTCTATAATTCAAGTGGTTTTACAATTTTTTGCGCTGAATGATGGTTCAATTATACTGAAATTAGGTGGTTTTGCTACATACAATAATAAAATTGGTGCAGTGAGAACTAGTAACTTTCATCTCGATAAAGCAAATACTTTCCAGCTTCACATTGAAACTAAAATTTTTTATTTGTAATAATTTATAGGTAACACGATAATTTTTTTCTCTAAAAATATATAAATTATTACAAAAAAGGTTCTTTATACTTTTTTACTTTAATAAATCTCACTCAATAAATAAATAATACAAAAAATTTCTTCAGAAAAATGTACAAATTAAAAAAAAATTTTTAATTTAATTTTTATNTATCTAAGGGACTACAATTTATAATGTAATTTTTTTTATTGAAATTTTATTAATTATTTTTGGTTATTATGTGATATTGTTAATATTGTGTTCATCATGTAATATTATTGTTATTTTTTTTGTTGTTAAATATGTTACTAAGTGAGGACACTTAGTTGTAAGGATGGCCGAATGTTATCATTTAAATTATACATAAAGGGGGGGGATGTTCACCGCCAGGAGAACACACTAGTCAGCCAGAGGTGCCAGTGTTCAGTGAGTGCGGTCGTAGAAATACGTATAGTTTTTAATTAGTTTCTTTAAAATAGTCTACACATTGATGAGTTGTTATTAATTTGTGTTTATTTGTTTTAATTGTTCAATTGCTGAATAAATGTATATTTAATTTAATATATAATTCAGTGTAACTATCAAGTTTATTGTAAGAGAAAATTATTTTTAAAGGTAAATTTTAAAAGTCAAATGAGAATCTATTGTACTTTTTAAATATTAAATAAAGAACGGTTTGAAAAGAATTTTGATTATTTGATAACCAGTGTTGAATTTTAAGTTTTTAAGCTAATGTAGTTTTTAGTTATAGGCCACAGAGGAAAAACCGTTTAAAAATAACGTATTTTCGCATCACGTTAAAAATAGAGTGTTGCGTAACTGTTGAATAATATTTTTATGTTTTTCCCTTATGTATTGTACAGAGTTGTTAAGAAACGAGTTTCAAGAAAATTATTATTTTTAAATCATTTTTTTTGTTGTGAGTTAATATTTTAAACATGTTTTTCATCAAATCATAATATTAACATTTAAACCTATAAAACTTGATTTATTTAACGTTTTAAACTCACCAAAAAATTTAAATATCATAAAATTTTTATACTATTTTTAATTTGAAATACAAAATACAGATATTATGTTTATTTAAGTTATATATATATATAATGAAATAACAAAAAAAATTAATATTTTAAGCGAAATTGAGTTAAAATATTCACCATGAATTGTTATATTAGCAATTTGAGTACGTGGGCGAAATACCTAAGGGTCGTTTTGATAAGAATTCTTCTAACTCCTCCAAAAATTTAACCAAACTTACTCATTGAGCAAGCAATTAGGACTTGTGCAGAATTGCTAAGAAACATGTTTTTGGTTTTTAAATGGTCTTTTTTGTTTTTAATCAATGTTTTAAACATTCGTAATTTTAAATGAATGGCAAGGTTTACCAATGTTTGTTTTTCGACCCTCAGTTGGTATGTTTTTGTAAATTTTTTTTAAACTTCGGTGCAAAGCTGAGAAGGTATTAATATTACTATAATGTGTTTTTTCTGTGTCTATACCACTTGTTCTCAGTTCTCACTGGACTGCTTTGATGAATAATACGTAAAAATCAAAATCGTAACTAGTTGAAGACATAGACCTTAGAAATTGAGAAAATGTCCTTCGTACCTCTTAAATGGTGGAAATTACCAATAAAATGATTATATTTAAAATCAATACACTTTGACATTTTTTTAACTTTCTTTACTCATAAGTGCAATAAAATTTTTAAAAATGAATGAATAACAACAAATTTTTATTCCTCTTTTTAGGTATATATATATATTGAAAATTTGATTTTAAACCCACCCACGGGTTTTAGATTTCAATTTTTGCATGAAAAGTTAATCTATTCAATTTTTGAAATAATACGTCCTATAAACATATGTGTAAATTAAAGCTTATTCTACATACATAATCTAAAAAAATATCGGTTCTGACATCTTGTCTTCTATATGAAAACAATTGGATTGGGTCGAACTTAAACAAAAATGTTATATTGGTATAGAAATCGCCATTTTCTATTTAAATTTTTTTTTTCCTAAACATTTGTCTAAATTTTAATTCAAACAATATAGTCGAATAAGAGGTAATGGGTATTTAACACATTTAATCATAAAAAATTGTAAAAATCAATTAAGTTTTAAATATTTTAGGGAGAATTTTTGCAACTTTTGATGTTAATACAATATTTATATTAAAATGAATGGGCTGCCGTTTCCAAAAAAAATGTTCTAGTCAACATTGGCTTATGATAATTTGAAGTATCAAATTACAGGTGATTTTTTAATAGCCACTCTTATTCATTCGATTTTCCTTAAAATAATAATTATCAATTCATTTAATAAATATTATGACTTAAATTACAATATGGTGAAAATGACTATTTTTTTTTCTAGAGTGGTTAGTCAAAAAAGATTCATGTGCACATTCATTATAAGGCAAAGCCCTAATAACTCCAATGCTTTATTGCATACTCGTCTTTTGTGTGACAATACTTATTTCTTTAATATTAATATTTAATAATAATAATATTTCTTTTCTTTCTCTTTCTCTTAAATAAAATAAATTATCTTAAAAATGAAATAATGATAAATTAAAATTAAAATAAATTAATATTAACAAATAAAATATTAAAATCATACATATAAAGCATTATATGAGGGAATTTAAGTCTAGCTCTTCTCTTTCAAAATATTATTTATATAGAACTAGAGTTTTATATAAATTATATATAATTATCTATATAATTATTTATAATACTATAAATAATTTATGTAGTTACCTTATGCATACAACTTTGGAATCGAAACATTTTTTCTGTTTTTATCATTGTCAGATTCAAAATTAAACTGGTTTCAATTGTTAACTTTGTGTATTTAATAAAAAGTTATGTAAAAAACACATCAATAATATTGTTCAAAACAAGCAAACTTCACGAGTTTGTGAAGCAATTGAAGCAACTGAATTTAAAGGTGAATGTAATTAAATATATACTATAGTTAATGTTAGATTGAAAATGAAATGTCTAAAATGTTATTTAATGAACTATCAAAATCTATATAATCAGTTATATTCATAATAAACTAATTATTATTAATTTGGACTATTATAAATACTAGTTTTAAAAAAGTGCCCTTTAGTTTATTATTCAATTTTACTATGTTAATGAGATATTCGAGTTATGTAATTTTTATTGCGTTCTCTTGCGATAAATAATTAAATAAAAATGGAAAATCAACTGTATGGGAGTTTAAAAGATTTTAATATTCAGTAGAAATATCAAAGGATAAATTTAAAAATCAATATAAGATATATAACAAGTAATAATACTCTTTATTTAATAGTAGGAGAATATATGCACATAAATAACTATAAAGTAGAATCGGAATTTATTCTGCACTTGCTTTACAAATTTTTGTACATCTTATTGGTTTCAGCCTTATTGGTTTGTATATATTTGTTTTAAAGAGCATAAAAAAATATTGTTACTTTTCTATAAGGCAATTAATTTTAGCAGAATAATCTTTTTCTTTTTTATAAATAGCAAAATTTTTTTTTAGAAAATGTTATTATTTTTTGAATATAACACAATATATCAAGTTTTCTTAAAATATAGACATTGACTACAGTTTTCACACAATGTCTTACTTAAAATTAAAAACCTTTTATGAAACTAAATCTAAAGGATAATAATGATAATAATAGTAATACAGTTTGCGATAAATATGTTTTTCTAATTTATGCAATAATTTTACCACTTATTATTTTATTATTTAAAAATGTTCTAAGAGGATAAACTAAGAGAATGTAAATACATTCTCTAAAATCGCCGCAGATTTGACATTCCTTTAATTTGAAATTAAAGAGTCAAGAAAAAGGTTTATATAAATATTCAAATTGATCTATTAGATTATAATTGATCTGATAAATTAGCATTTTGACATTATATAAGAATGTATTTATAACTTCAATTTTAAATAGTCAAATCTAACAAAGTAATGTGATAAGATAATTATAAATAAAATTGTCATGTTTAACTAAACCAAAAGCAACAATAATTATAATTTTATACATGATCACTGTAAATGATAAAAAAATACTCACGTCAGTATGGTACTTTTAATATTCACGTTATTTTCATACATGAAATGTAATTTTAACATAAAGTATTGAAAATTCGTACACAAATATGACATTTTATCATTATTTATGAAAATTTTTTCTTATATTGTATACACATTAAAAAGTTTTAGTAAATCTATGTAAAAAAATCTGACTATTTTTTTTTAAATATATTTGAATCATAGTATTTCACTCTTTATATTTTTACACTTTTTTAAAACTTTTGAACCAGCATTTTGGAATTCATAAGCGATTTAAATTAATGGTTAAAGATTAGGCTTGGTTTGTGCTATTTTTATCACTAAACAATTCTCAGCCTCGCAATTCCAGTTTAGTATAAAAATGTTAATAACTGCTAAAATACTAGGTCAACATTTTTGAACCAAAAGTTGTAATAGACCAGTAATTTTCTTAATTAGGTAGTAATCTAAAAATAAACAGATTAATTAGGTTTGTTCCTATTTAAAAAAAATATTTTATCCATAAAACACATAAAGGATAAAAATAATAAATGTTTCATTAATAAATTTTCACAATTTTATATTTATTTTTTGATTAATTAAGAAGTTTATGATAAATCCCTCTTTATATATAATTAGTTAAATAAATATTTCAAATAAATTGCAGAGTAAAAGAAGTGGTATGGATCTCAGGGACACTGATAAGTAATATGTAGACAAAATTTGTTTGTGTTACTTTCAGACATTGTTTGAGACACGTACTATACACAAGTGCTAGACCAACCAGGTCTTGCAGTGTGTTTTTCTCTTTTTTAAATTTAGTATAATATCATCGTAGTCAAGTTTTTTATTATTATATACATATGTATATAATTTTTTCTTTGATTGCGTGATTTATTAATTTATTTTAAGTTAAATTTATAAAAATTATTTTTTTTTAATACTAACTGGGTTATAAAAATAATATATAGGTATTTACATGTTAAGGAAAATAACAGTTTTTAAATCTTAATTTTTAGACCTTTATTACTTAGCAAAATGGCGTTAGATCTACATCGATTGAACACTGTGCGAANATAACAGTTTTTAAATCTTAATTTTTAGACCTTTATTACTTAGCAAAATGGCGTTAGATCTACATCGATTGAACACCGCGCGAAAATCAGAGAAATCCCAAGAAGAAATTTTAAAAGAAATTATTACGGACGAATTTCCCTTAAATCCGTTAGAAGTCATTGGAGAAAAAAGTTTCGATGATCCTGAGGCCGTCAAAGAAGCCAATAAACTTACGGGAACGGATGTCCAAGAATTTTACAGAGATGCCACAGTTTTTCTAACGGGTGGAACAGGTTTTATGGGCAAAATGATAATTGAAAAGTTGTGCCGATCATGTCCTCATATCAAACAAATTTATTTGCTAGTCAGAAATAAAAAAGGAAAAGTCATCAACGAACGCGTTGATGCTATATTTGATGATAGGGTAAGATATTTATTTGGAAAACTAATCTGTTATAGCTTAAAATTATCGTTTAAAATAGTATAACTATATTTAAATAAAAAGTAATTATTCATAGGCACTTAAACCTATTAGATTAAATAATTAGATTTTTGCTCTGAAAATCAAATTATGATAAATTATAGACCATTACTTTGAAACTATTAAGTTGGTGTTGAGGCTTATTATACCTGTACTTTAATTTGTACAGGATGAGAATTAGTCATTCTGTTTCAATAATTATTTCTTAATTTAAAATAAAATAGTTTCTTCGGTTAAAAAAATTAATGTCATTTTTCAACACATCGAAGAATAATTTAACTGTATAGTAACTCAAAATTATACCTTTCCAATCTCTGTCCTTGAAGTAATATTATTTTGAGTAAATTTGTGTCATTTGTGAAAATTGGATTTCAATAAGGACCATTCACTAACCTTACTTTAAAAGTATTCTATTATTAGTAGAGTAACATTGTCCAAAGCTTGTGTTACTTTCTCCTCAAAGCACAGCGCCTTATTTTATGAACTTAACATTAGGTGAAAGTCGTTACGAGAATTGATGAATTTTTTTACCTGGATCTAAATTTTATTGAAATTATTTGCAAATAATTATATTTATACTGCTTGTTATTTTTTAAAATTTTAACTGCTTAGTTATATTTTATAATAAAATAAACTTTTGCAAAAACATAGCCTAGATTTAATATAACTTTTTTTACATTATAAATAAATTCGTATAAGCAGTATATATAACGCAATCAACAATAATTAATAACTGCTGTGATTTTTATTGAGCCATCTCAACATGAACTCTTTATATTGCATTAAAATAAAAATACGTGACAAGCGGTACAATGAGCTTAGATATCTTAAAATACAAGGTCATAGATCTAACATTGTGATTGAATTCGAATAAAATTAACTATAAATGTTACTAAATTATGTTATACAATAAGTTTAAAGATTAATAATTCATTAGTTCATTTCACTTTGGAACACTATTTTATAATACGAAATTTGTAGTGTTTTAATTACAATAAAATAAGTTAATTGCTTATTAGGATGGTTCTTATTTTTAAATGATTTCATTTTTTTTATCAATTCTCATAAAAAGATTTTAATATATAAAAAATGATGTACACGAAATTTGAACATTATAAGATCAATTTTCACCATGAAGACAAACTAAAGTTCGAAATTTTTTTTTTATAGTATAGTATGTTACATTAGCATTAATTTAATATATATAATAGTGTCAGTATTTCGGGAAAATTCAAAACATTCGAATCATCAAAAGTTATGTTGAAAAAGTTTAACTTGTGTCAAAAATTATTATTTTTATACCCCCTGTGGGTAGATCAAGAATCAGATTTTCAAAAAATGTTTATCAAATGAAAGAAAAATATCTAAGGTTTCAATACAAAAAAGAATTATTATAATTTGTTTTTTTTTTCAAAAACTTATGGCAGTGGTAAGTATTAAAATATTTCATGCTTAACAGTGATTTTTACATAAAAATTATATTTTTCGTTGAATTCAACGGCCATGTTTCTATAGAAGAAAATGTGACTGGACAAACTTTTTTTTTGAACTTATAGTATTTATCATAAGGTTTAATATGACATATTATTTAAAGCTCAGAGTATTTCTGAAACATTTTCAAAGGTTAAGTTGATAAAGTTCTATTTTTTACATGTATTTTTATAAATCTAAATGCCTCTTGTATAAAGGAAAATGGTCCGATTTAAAAAAAAAAATTATGTCAAATAAAAGAAGTAAACATTAAGTGTTTATAAAAAAAAAAATTGTGTTGATACATTTTATGAAAAGTTATAGCAATTTAAACTTGAAAATTTAAAATCGAAAATCAAAAATTCTAAATAACATCTAAGGTTGCAATATAAAAAAGAATTATTTTGATTCGTTCATTTTTCATTAACCCTTTAGCAGGCACGTGCCTATTTTTAACGTTCATAGTCGCGTGGGGATCTATTAGACCCCATTTCTAAAAAAAGTATAAAATATCTATAAAAAAGTTCATTTTTTTTAATTCAAAGAAATTATTTGTTACCATATGATATATAAATATGGATAAAAATTCAATAATAAAAATAAAAATTAAATAAATTACAAAATTATGTGCATTACTAAAAATTATAATACCAAAAAAAAAACTTAATTTTCAAAATTTCATTAAAAATTATGTTTTATAAAAAAATTATTTTACTGCAAAATCTTATTTTTAAGACACAAAATAAAAGCTTTTACTATTAGAAAATGTATTTTAATTAATTTTTCTTGTATTTATTTTTGCTCAAACACGACTTATATTTATTAGTTTTATGTGTATTTACTTTTATATAATCATTTTTCTGAATTGAATTTTTTTATTATTAATATTAAAATACATTTAATAATTATGATACGAGTATATACAATTATTCTGAACCTGTTGAACATTGATTTTCTCCCAACAATCTTTGCATACTGTTTAATATACGCGATGTATTTATTACATGTTTTGTTCTTATTATTCCGTATCACCGAGTAGTGGAAATTCTCAATAGATTATTTATTTTAAAAACTTAATTGCACAGTCGGTGGTAGATCCACATAATTCCAATTCCATAATATTATATCGATTATAACATTGCTTTTACGATAAAACGATATTTTGAAAAAAATACAAGTCCAAAAAAAACTATAACGTTACGAGTCGCGTGGAGGTAAATATGACACATTTCAATTTTGATGAATATTTTAAGTCATACATTATTTTTCGAAGGTATTTATTTATGAAAATCGATTCAATATTACTATAAAAACCATTTTCTAAATTTATATCTATGTACACTTTTTATGCAATATAATAAATCCGTTTTTATTTTTGTGGGGACATGCTAGACCCCCACGCGACTGTTAAAGGTTAAGTAATGGCAATTTTTAGAAAAAAAAAATTGAAAAAAATGTCGAAATTTACCGATTTTAAAAATAGTAATTTTTGGGGGGATTTTCACCATAAATGAAGAACGAGGGCCAAATTTTTAATTTATGAGAGAAATGTCAATACGATTTTTTGACGAATAGTTGAGAAAATTCAGTTCAGTGAGAGCAAAGAATATGTAGTAACAGACACAACAAAAAAAAATTAATTTTTTTAGTTCACAATACATTTTTAATTGATTATAGAAATTCTGGCTCTGTATAATAAAATACTATTAATTTTTGACACTTAAATGATCCATATTTAATATTACATGAAATTTTACATCAATTTAAAATATATAAATTTAATGCAGATATTTTATAAAAAAAACTATTTTGTTATATTTTATAATAAAATAAACTTTTGCAAAAACATAGCCTAGATTTAATATAATTTTTTTGACATTATAAATAAATTCGTATAAGCGGTATATATAGCGTGATTTTTTTATCATAACCCACTCAATTACTTACAGAATAAATATGTTTAAACGTTATTATTTTTTGTTTATCTTTAGTTACTAATTATCCTTGAATTATTAACTATGTAATACTTTTTAAGTTCATTCCTAATGCCTTGTAAGGGGCTCAACTTTGTTTTTTTAAATGGAAACACATATTTAAAATTTAGATCCCGGTAAAAAAATTTATTAATTCACTTGACGACATAAATGATAAAAAAATCACCCTGTATACCGCAATCAACAATTAATAACTGCTGTGATTTTTATTGAGCCATGTCATCATGAACTCTGTTACATTGTAATTGAATTCGAATTAAACTAACTATAGAATATAAATATATAAATTGTGCAATACAATAATCTTAAAGGTTAATATTTCATTTGACAATTTCACTTTGGAACACTATTTTATAATACGAATTTTTTTAGTATTTTAATAACTACAAAATATGTTAATTGCTCATTAGGATGGTTCTTATTTTTAAATGTATAATTTGATTTTTATCGATTCCCACAAAAAGATTCTAATAAGAATCTTCTGTTAATTTAACAATTCATTTAGCTGTATTATTGATAACTTTTTACTTTCCGAATATTTCTTTATCTTGTTTGTATTTTAAATTTCTCTCTCAGATTGACAACGATATTTCAATAAAATTATAATTTATATTAAACCTTTTAAATTCATTAAACATTGATTTTAAAAGTGCTTTTATATTTTTTAAATATATGTAATATTGAAGTTAATTGCTAGGTTGAAAATAGTAAACATAAAATACCAAATCAAAAAATTTCAATTTTTTACTATATTTATATTGAAGTATTATTTATTTGAATATAATTATATTTATTTATTCTTTGGATAATTTGTTTCAAATATTTGTATTAAAGTAAAAAAATTACTTTTATACTTTTGTAAATATTATCATTAATTCAGTATTTTGTTTATATGAATACTAAATTTTATGGTGAGTGGGAATACACCAACGTCCAAAATGTTTAAATTTTTACAATCGGAAATACTGAC